TATATGACAAAAACATGAATAGTACCTGGTGATCACCAAGCTACTGTTTCTGGAGAGGAGTTCAATGAAGGATTCATAGAACAGAGAGTGGAGAAAATGAAGTAGAAGAGAAGTTTTAAGTTAGTTAAAAGGCGTATCCGTACATGTGTGGTCCATTATCTTTAGCAAAGGCAAGAATTCTCAAGGGAGAAAAAATGAATAGTCCAGTACTTGACTTGGCTTTTGATCTTCTTGTTACAGAGAAAATATTATTCCAAGAGAAAATGGAGCTAAGCTATAGTTAATTTTAAAGGTGTATCCGTACATGTGTGGTACATTATCTTTAGCAACTTCCTTTTCAAGGCAAGAATTCTTAAGGTAGAAGAAATGAACAGTCCAATACTTTACTTTTGATCTTCTCGTAACAGATAAAATATTATTCCAAGAGAAAATGGAACTAAGCTACCGTTTATAGGGAATATCTCATAAATTCTCTCTTTGTAATTTTAAGCAAGAGTAGGATCTAACATGACCTTCTGAGTTTGAGTCCTTGTAATTGTTAATATAGATGACCGTTATAGCTCTTACCAGTCAATAGTTTTAAGGTCTGAAAAATTAGTATTAAAGGTTGTATGCCAAAATCACCATGCGTTTCTATAACAAGATCTCAAAATAGTCAAAAGAAAGTACTATCAGAAATCATGGGATGCTTTGTTAGAGTTTAATACTGAAATATTTATGTCAACTTACCTTCTCACGGCCCACATGCACAACACGCTCCTCAATATCGCTGATAGATACTTTCAATTCTTTCAAAAGACACAGACTTTGGACTTGAGACATGGGTGTGATGATCAGATTGTCAGTTACTGTAAACATTGCTGGTCCAGCCATAAATCCTCCTCTTGTGGCTTCTTTAAAATGAGACTTAGGATCCTTAACAGTTAAAATTGAACTTCTCGCATATGATCCACAAGGAATTTCACCATCAGAAGTCAGTTGAGAATGATAACAAGAATGCTCTGCATAGCAGTATTTTGGGTGCAAACCTTCCTCAATGCCTAAAGGATGGTTCTCATAGCCAAAATCAGGAGCAAGCTTCGGATTGATGAGCATTTCCTTGTGCTCATTAGATTTAAAGTATTTCTCAACATTAAGATCCTGAACACCATTGTACAGGTGAGTTAAGGATCCCATTGAAAAGTCACTCCGCATTTCTTTTATTATATAACCAAGTGGAAAAGTTAGGAAACTGGAGACTAAATCAACAAATTCTTCACTTGCTTCGGCATAACAAACCATTTTCTTGGATTTGCTGACGATAAGCTTTACATGAATCTTCCCATCCACATTTGATTCTGGTTCTTCCACGGTAGATTTAACATAAATGTTCCGATCAAAATCTTCTTTGCCAAACTTTGGTGATGAATTTTGTTTCAACAAAGTTTCTGTCAAAGGTTTTTTTGACACTAGTGAGCACATGAGCAAAGTGAAAACCTGAAAGAAGGCATCAGGTCACGAACACAACCACAATCCAGCTATCTAACAAATTGTGAAATTATTAATCATATTCAGAGAGCTGATATAATAAAAGATGATAGTAGATCAAATTCAAAAGCCCTAATTTTTGCCAATTATAAATGTTGATTAGTTAGCTTCTGACATTTTTAGCTTGACTGTAAAACATTTTTTCTTTCCTTTTTTCTTTTAATCCCCATCATTTACTTCTAAAAAAGCAAACTGCAATGAAGGTGAATAATTTCCAGGAGATCTTCATATACTAAGTTTGATCATACAAAATGATTCTTAACTACAAATAGTAGAATCTGATAAGATTATTAAATTTTAGAATCATAACGAAATAGTTACCTCATCTACTCCTATGTCAATGTTGTACTCCTCAATGGCGCTACAGTCCATGAGTCCTATCTTGGACAATAGAGAAAGGCTTGCTTCTATTGATGAGGGCTTTACTTGTAATTCATCACTTATTATAAATTGGGTCAGTCCTTTAACAAACACTCCTCTGTCTCGACCATCAAAAACTAACTTTTTTACAGTCTTATTTGACAACTCCATCGTCCTATCCATGAGCCCTCCACATTCGCAAACAGCATTAGGGTAGAGACTCAATAACTTGTGCCCAGAAAGTGTACAATCCGTAGTGCACAAGAAGTACCTCGGCAGCTCCCCATCGTCAATTTGCAATTTTAGTCTCTTGTTCTGAGGCGCAGCGCCATTTCTGGGACATAGCAACATGGTCTTGCATGCTTCAGTCCGGAAACGCTGCATGTCAAGGTTCTCAATGCTTTCATACAAATTGTTCATGCAACCCATCCCCACTGTCGGTGGTTGATTATGATTAGAAATAAGCCTGATGATTGTTCCCATGGGCATTGTCAAGAAGCTAAAGAGGACGTCAGTAAAGTCCTCATCTGATTCCACAAATATAACTCTGTTGTTCTCTTTATCCACCAAAGCCTTCAAGCTAATTGCTTTTGCTTCTTCCTTATTCATTGAGTATATGCTTTCAATTCTTGCTTTGTTCAAATACTGAATACAAGCTGCAAAATCAATGCTTAATCAATTACTTATCTAAGCCATAAGCCTTGTGTTCATAGACTACAAGAAATTTTGAAATCTATGCAAAAGCTCATTTTCTGGTTAAAAGCAGATATAGTTATTGAATTTCATAAACAAAATCTAATTGCAAAAAGCAGAAACTCAATAAATAGCCATTTTCTTGAAACAAGGAAAAGGATAAATTGATTCAAAAACACCATGATTCTAAGCTGATCTCCACAAGGCTAGAAGATTTAAGGATTTATTCTTATTGCACATGTTCACATACATATTGTACATTAAGAAAAACATAAATCATTGAACAAAGTAATTAATTTGATCATTAATTAAGGTTTACATAAACTTACTTAAAGGAGCCCAATGGGCTTGAAAAGAACATCATCAGAAAAATCAAAACAAGAAGATGGTGGAGATGTGTAATTAATTTGATAATTAATTAAGGTTTACAAGTCGTAAAAAGCTTCAATGTTTAGAGCTTTCTGGGATTGAAATAATGACTAAAACATTGTAAACACTGATGAATAAAATCTAAGATTAAATAACTAATACAAGTCATAATTCCACAGAGAAAACAGCCCTTGTAGTCATGCTATTAACTGTAGCTCTGACGCTCAAGAACTTAACTTTAAAAGTAACTGATGGTATATGACAAAAACATGAATAGTACCTGGTGATCACCAAGCTACTGTTTCTGGAGAGGAGTTCAATGAAGGATTCAGAGAACAGAGAGTGGAGAAAATGAAGTAGAAGAGAAGTTTTAAGTTAGTTAAAAGGCGTATCCGTACATGTGTGGTCCATTATCTTTAGCAAAGGCAAGAATTCTCAAGGGAGAATAAATGAATAGTCCAGTACTTGACTTGGCTTTTGATCTTCTTGTTACAGAGAAAATATTATTCCAAGAGAAAATGGAGCTAAGCTATAGTTAATTTTAAAGGTGTATCCGTACATGTGTGGTACATTATCTTTAGCAACTTCCTTTTCAAGGCAAGAATTCTTAAGGTAGAAGAAATGAACAGTCCAATACTTTACTTTTGATCTTCTCGTAACAGATAAAATATTATTCCAAGAGAAAATGGAACTAAGCTACCGTTTATAGGGAATATCTCATAAATTCTCTCTTTGTAATTTTAAGCAAGAGTAGGATCTAACATGACCTTCTGAGTTTGAGTCCTTGTAATTATTAATATAGATGACCGTTATAGCTCTTACCAGTCAATAGTTTTAAGGTCTGAAAAATTAGTTGAGTTGCACGCAAACTGACCCGAATACCCCAAGTCATCAAAAAAAAAAAAAAAAAAAAAAAACTTATATAATTTTGTTTGAGATTATACCCAAGTGTCATTTACCCAAAATGTGTCTTCATTAGAGAACCTATCTTATGGACCTCCGGTTCTTATGAGGTTGTGGCATATCACATTATCGAAAATGCACCCTATGAACCTTACATCACAGCTTGGAAAGTGCACCTTGTTTGCATGGATTTACTGTTAAGCTTGACATAAACGATCTTATTATTAGACGTACATCTACTTAATTTATAAAATCATACTTATGAACCTTGCATTCTCATGAGATCGTGTCACAGTGCACAGAGTCCTATCTTATGGACTTCACGCCACACCGTCAGATTGCAAATTAGTTCAAATAGCAATTGTAATCACTCGTATACCGTATGAATGGCCTAGTACATGTGTTTTGCTTCTAATGGTACAATATTACTTATCATAATATCAAAAAAACTTGAAATATAATTTGAACCTTGTCACCACCATCGAGTGATTTTGTGATAAAAGAGCAAAAGAAAGTTTCATGAGCTTTTAAATTCAAGTCTCCATAGTCCCTAATAGGGGTATCCATTGAGAGGTTTATCTTGTCATGGCCCCCATTACATTTATTTTGATCTTATTATTATGAAAAATATTAAATCAATTGTTCACCTTTTCCACCACATGTCTAACAATTGCCCTACCATATCTCAAATCAAACAAACCAATCTTTAATTTAGTTGCTCCAGAGAAGGAGAAACTTTACTAGAATGTTTGTGACCAACTCATTTTATTATACTATATAGTATATATACTTAGAAATAGGTGAATTGCTTCTTCACACTTGAGAATTATGAACAAAATCAAAGTTGAGCTTCAAATTTACAATAAAGAAGTTCTTTCAAATTAAAAAAACAAAAAACCATTATGATTTCTGAGGGCACCCAAATCATCCAAACATGTACAGCCCAAAAGAAATAACAAAGCAATTTCCATGGGCCCATTTGCTGATTAAGCCCATATCTACTTAATATAATATAATATAGTTATTGTAATTTTGTACCCTCAAGGTCAAGGCAATGCTGCCTTGATAAGGCATTTTGACGCTGATGAATGATGACTTTTGATCATCTTGTAAGAGAGAAAGTATTAATATATAGAAGAGAACAGAAATTGGTTTCTCAATCTTTTGTAGCCGTGACTCATATATTGTTTATAGTTATAAATCAAATTTACCTCCAGTTCTTTACAACAGATCATACTCCTTTTGCTTTTGAATGCTATCCACGTTGGAGCTAAAATTGGAAATCTATCTCACAATAAATAGATACAATACAAATCCTCTGTAGTAACATACTTATATGGAATACCTTCTGGTCTAAGAGCATACCAGAGCACAAACACAAATTTTAACACAAACTATAAATAGTTCTCACATGAACAACATTCCTTATTTTAGTTGAAATATGGATTTGGCTCTCTCAGAAAGGCATTGGTCAGAGCAGATTCAGATACAAAAGAAGCCACCAATAGACGCAAAGCCTGCAAAGTAAAATAAATTCATAAGGTATCAAAAAACATATTCATAAGGTATCAACAAGAGAATGGATATCATGCTTTCACATCATCTTCAATGGATTCTCTTCTTGAACAGCTTCTGAATCAAAACTCTCCATTTGTATAGTCTAATTAATGGGAGATGGTAATGCAGCAACAAAAACAGAATTGGCAGTAGCTTAGTTTGGTAGATTATTGGCTTGGCACAATAAACTGACAGCATTTGTATATTTTACTTCTATACTGTCACTTACTATTGATTGAAAACAATACATTTGTAGATGGCAATGCCTTGCAATTTGACAAGACTTACAACATAAAAATAATAAAAGATACAGATAGTATGGGAATCTAAAACCTTATGAAGAAATGAACTATTTGGCTGATACAGTTCTTCAGTGTTACTTAAAAGCAAATAAGACTTCTAATGCTCTTGCCAATGTGAGGAAAAACCTTAAAATACATGTATGAAACTTTTAAGTTGTTTGCTGCATCTTGCTGGATGAATTTCTATGATTATGTCCTAGAATACTGTATGTTTTCCAATAGTAACATTCTAGCAAGTTAGGCAAATTGAGAGAAAGTTAAATCATAGGGACTTGAATTTCGAAGAAATACTTAAAGGTTGTATGCCAAAATCACCATGCGTTTCTATAACAGGATCTCAAAATAGTCAAAAAAAACTACTATCAGAAATCATGGGATGCTTTGTTAGAGTTTAATACTGAAATATTTATGTCAATTTACCTTCTCACGGCCCACATGCACAAAACGCTCCTCAATATCGCTGAAAGGTACTTTCAATTTGTTCAGAAGAGATAGACTTTCGAATTGAGATATGGGTGTGATGATCAGATTGTCAGTTACGGTAAACATTGTTGATCCAGTCACAAATCCTCCTCTTCTGGCTTCTTTAAAATGAGACTTAGGATCCTTGACAGTTAAAATTGACCGTCTCCATTCCCATCCAGAAAGAATTTGCTCACCAGAAGTCAATGCATAACGAAAAGGAGATACATCACAATATTCTGTAGCACAGTATGTTGGGTGCAAACCTTCTTCAATGCCTAAAGGATGGTTCTCATAGCTAAAATAAGGGGCGAACTTCGGACTGATGAGCATTTTCTTGTGCTCATCAGATTTCAGGTATTTCTCAGTATCGAGTTCCTTAACACTAGTGTACAGGTGAGTTAATGATCCTTTTGAAAAGCCACTCTGCATTTCTTTTATTATATAACCAAGTGGAACAGTTAGGAAACTGGAAACTAAATCAACAAATTCTTTACTTGCTTCAGCAAAACAAACCATTTTCTTGGATTTGCTGATAATAAGCTTTACATGAATCTTCCCATCCACATTTGATTCTGGTTCTTCCACTGTAGACTCAACATAGATATTCTGATCAAAATCTTCTTTGCCGAACTTTGGTGCTGAATTTTGTTTCAACAAAAATTCTGTCAAAGGTTTCTTTGATACCAGTGAGCACTTGAGCAAAGTGAGAACCTGAAAAAAGGCATCAGGTCAATTGGGAAATTATTAATCATATTCAAAGAGATGACATAATAAAAGATAATATTAGATCTGACGTAGTGAGCTTAAAAACAAGGCTAACACACAATTATGCCTTTATGGTCTATTAACAAGTCTCAATCATAGAAACTTAATTCATAAAATTGAAGGAAAATCTGAAAATCATTTTATATCTTAAAAAAAAAAATAATACCTTTATGTAGGGTGGTGACAACTAAACCTAACAAAAGACTCTCAATCAATAAGGAAATAAAAAACAAATTAATTAAAAGAAAAAAGGAAATCCTAATTTTTGACTAATTATCACATTAGAAATAACTCTTAATAGAAGAGGAAAAACACACAAAAAAAACTTAAACGTCCCCTAAACAAGTCGAAACAATGGATTTTGGGCCTGAATACGACAGCCAACAAGGGACTCGGGTTGCCACGTTGTCGGGCTCGAAACAAGCTTTTTGTTTATATCTTATGAGTCCCGTAACTCCTCACAAATCAAAAGTCATGGCTATTTTAAGTTGGTATGCCGACGTTTGAGCTTTTGAATTATCATTGTTGATCTAATTAGCTTCTGACAATTTTAGCTTGACTACGAAACGTTTTTCCTTTTAGTCCCCATCATTTACTTCTAAAAAGCAAACTGCATTGAAGGTCAATTATGCTCAGGAGATGTTCATCACAAGCACGGGCAGACCCAGGAGGAATGAAACTTAGGGGGTAAAACGTTAAAATAACAATTAACATAAATATAAAATAAATAAACACAAATATTTGTATTAATAAAATTCTCGTTAACTAATATATTTATAATTGTCCTCGACGAGATTTTATCTTTTAAATATATTGTATAATGATTTCATTATCAATACTATCAAATACATCATTCTTTATATACAAAATTAAACTATCATTCAACCATTAATCACTCATTCTATTTCGCAAATGATTCTTCACAACATTTATTGATGAAAATGCTCTTTTTACACTAGCAGTGACAACCAGTAAAATCAATGCTAATTTTATTAATAGATTAACTAATAGAAACACTCTATCCTTCTTTGTTTCAACCATCACTCTTACAAGATCTCCAATCCCATTCAATTTAATAAATTTTACATTAGAGCATCCAAAATGTAAGTATCAAATTGAGAATCAAGTGCTATGAATTTTAAGTTAGAAAAATCTTATAAATAAAGTTCAACAAGACGTATCAATTTTTGCTTATCAAAAGTAACAAAATTTTCATTTGGACATAAGCATGCCAAACAAAAATAATTCAGTATTTACCTCATTAAAACGATTATTCAACTATTGAAGCTATATGTAAGACACTATAAAATACTTCAATACGCTAATGATGCACGTTTTTTTTATAACTTTGCTAAGTAAATTCTCCCATACACTATCCCTCATCAATTATAAAGCCTGCTTACATGCTTCAACCAAATTCATAACATTTACAATATCTTGATCTTTTCTTTATAATGCTTGAGAATGTTCATTTGTAAAGCTAAGTAAATCTTTCATCATAAATAAACTAAATACAAAATTAAATGATTGCATAAATTTCAATATATTATTAGAGAAAAATAGGGATCGAAGAGATGGAGTGGGGCACGTTGGACAAGAGAAAAAGTTGGGATTGGAGAAAAAAGGGAAAAATGTATTTTTAGAGAAAATCAAAATTTTTAATTAATTTAATTTACGTAATTTGTAATTTAGTTTTTTTATGGGCCAAAATGAAAAAATTTTAAAAATTCCAAGTGGGGGCACTTGACCCCATGTGGGTCGGCCCCTGATCACGAGTACGAATTGGTTTCTTCATGTACTATGTTTAATCATAGAAAACGATTCCTAACTACAAATGATGGTAGAATCCGATAAAAATATTAAATTTTAGAATCAGAATGAAACAGTTACCTCATCTACTCCTACGTCGATGTTGTAGTAGCTATACTCCTCAATGCTGCTACAGTCCGTGAGTCCTAGCTTGGATAGTACAGAAACGCTTGCTTCTATTGATGAGGGCTTTACTTGTAGTTCATCACTTATTATAAATTGGTTCAGTCCTTTAACAAACACTCCTCTATCTTGAGCATCAAAAACTAACTTTTTTTCAGTCTTCTCTGACAACTGCATCGTCCTATCCATGAGCCGTCCACATTCGCAAACAGCATTAGGGTAGAGACTCAATAACTTGTGCACAGAAAGGGTACAATCCGTAGTGCACAAGAAGTACCTCGGATCCTCACCATCGTCAATTTGCAATTTTAGTCTCTTGTTCTGAGGTGCAACGTGATTTCTGGGGCATAGCAACATGGTCTTGCATGCTTCAGTCCAGAAACACTGCATATCAAGGTTCTTAATGCTTTCATACAAATTGTTCATGCAACCTACCGCCACTGTTGGTGGTTGATTATGATTAGAAATAAGCCTGATGATTGTTCCCATGGGCATTGTCAAGAAGCTAAAGAGAACATCAGTAAAGTCCACATCTGATTCCGCAAATATAACTCTGTTGTTCTCTTAATCCACCAAGGCCTTCAAGCTAATTGCTTTTGCTTCTTCCGTAGCCATTGAGAATATGCTTTCAAATCTTGCTTTGTTCAAATACTGAATACAACCTGCAAAATCCACGCTTAATCAATTACTTATCTGAGCCTGAAGCCTTGTGTTCATACACTTCAAGAAATTTTGAAATCTATGCAAAAGCTCATTTTCTGGCTAAAAGCATATATAGTTATTGGATTTCGTAAAATCTAATTGCAAAAAGCAGCAACTCAACAAATAGCCATCTTCTTGAAACAAGGAAAAAGGATAAATTGATTCAAAGGCACCATGATTCTAAGCTGATCTCCACAGGGCTGGAAGATTTAAGGACTTTTTCTAAGTGCAAATGTTCACATACATATTGTCAATACATTAAGAAAAAACATAAATCATTGAACAAAGTAATGAATTTTATATAAACTTTTACATAAACTTACTTAAAGGAGTTCAATGGGCTAGAAAAGAGCATCATCAGGAAAATCAAAACAATAAGATGGTGGAGATGTGATCATTAATTAAGGTTCACAAGTCGTTAAAATCTTGAGTGTTTAGAGGTTTCTGGGATTGAAATAATGATTAAAACATTCTAAACACTGACGAATAAAAGCTAAGATAAAATTACTAATACAAGTCATAATTCTACAGAGAAATCAGCCCATATAGTCATGCGATTAACTCTAGCTCAGATGCTCAAGAACTTAACTTCAAAAGTAACTGATGTTATATGACAAAAACATATATAGTACCTGGTGATCACCAAGCTACTGTTGCTGGAGAGGAGTTCAATGAAGGATTCTGGGAGCAGCGAGCAGAGAAAATCAAGTAGAAGAGAGGTTTTAAGTAAGTTAAAAAGTGCATCCGTACATGTGTGGTCCACTATAGCAACTTCCTTTCGAAGGCAAGAATTCTTAAGGGAGAAGAAATGAACAGTCCAGTATTTGACTTGACTTTAGATCTTCTTGTAACAGAGAAAATATTTATTCTTAGAGAAAATGGAACTAAGCGACTGTTAATTTTAAAGGTGTATCCCTACATGTGTGGTCCATTATCTTTAGCAACTTCCTTTTTAAAGCAAGAATTCTTAAGGGAGAAGAAATTAACAGTCCAAATCATGTAACTTAAGCAAACAAAAATGTTGCAACTCTACGGACGAATACATTATAAAGTAAGATATGGTGCCTGGTTTCCAGCTAGTACATTGCTGGAAAGAAGTGTAATAAGATTTTAGAGAGGATCAAAGAGTGTACTGAGCAGAAAATTTTAGGAAAGAATATGTACAGTAAGTTAAGGGTGCAGTAGTACTCTTTATCATCTTTAGCTACTTAATGAAGAAGAAATGAACAGTCCTGCATGCCTTGAATATTGCTATATCTTCTTGGAAAAAAGAAAATTTATGGAAAGGATGGAACTAGGTTATGAGAGAAGTAAAGAATGATGGAGCAATAATGCATGAATGATGCCAAGGCAAGATGGATTAATTAATGAAGTTGAAAGAGCTCAAATGACTCAAAAATTAATATACGTATATATATGTATAGCCAAGAGTTCGGTTATTTTGTAATTTTGTTGACATAATTTGTGTTTTTGGTCAAGGGAAAAGTTACTTTTGTAATTAATATATAGATATATTCATTAATCAGTATAAAGAAAATTCACAAGCTACCAATTACAAGATAATTCATTATCCCTTCATTCTTAACTATTAACACCTATCTGATGTCAAATTAGGGTCACTTTTTCTTGGAAACAAAGTTTACTTCCCACATCTTAAACAAAATGTATGAATGTATAATTTATTGCCTTTCAGTTGAGCCAATGTTTCAGTCCACAAACACCATGTCATTTGCCTATTCATGCGTCTTGCTTCTGGAAATTTTATTAAAAAAAAAAATTTCAGAAGTTTAGCTTCCAAACTCGCATAAAAACCTGAAAGTTGTAACGCAGATGTCCTGTTTCTCAATTTGTGCAGATTAGAAGAAAAACATAGTTTTGTTGTGTGTGTTTGTGAGAAAGAAAGATGGTATGCACATAAGCAAACTCAAATTGCAAATACAATGCAAATCCTTTGTAGTAACATATATGCAATACCCTCTTGTCTAAGAGCATGCTAGAGTACAAACACAAATTTTAACAAAATATATAAAAAGGTTTCACATGAACAATATTCTATATTTTAGCTAAAAAAAATTATTTTGACTATTTTGGATTTGACTCTCTCATAAATGCATTGGTCAAAGCAGATTCCGATACAAAAGAAGCCACTAATAGACGCAAAGCCTGCAAAGTAAAACAAATTTATAAGGTATCAACAAGGGAAACAAATTCATGAGGTATCAACAAGAGAATCGATATCATGCTTTCAGATAATCTTCAATGGATTCTCTTCGTGAACAGCTTTTGAATCAAAACTCTCCATTTATATAGTCTAATTAATGGGAGGTGGTATCTAGTTAGTAAATTCNATATCTCTCCTCCGGTATGTCCCGTTTCCGCAGCAACTTCATCCCCAAGCACTCAGTACAGAATCTAAAGTCACCAAATACATTAATATCCTTCCAAGATTATTACAATAATATTGTTTCAAAGAGAAACTTATTTATAACATTAACATTGACGTTGAAGTTAAATAAAAACTGAATACTTTATTGTCTTATCCAAATCTCCAACACGATAAACAACATGGAGCAATCTCCTTTTGTCTTTCTTAACCCATTCTGGGGCATTTTCTTGAGAAGCACTTGTGCTAGCTTGTGCCACATTCCAAGCTGATACCACTCCTACGCCATTGCCATCTCCTTTCAAGTGCTTAGAAGCTTTCAAACCAAGTGATTATGATATAAAGGTTATTTTTGTTTTGTTTATGCTGTAATTCAGTGGGAGGATTAGGATTGCTGCAAAATGGATTTGAGGTGTTACTGTGGCCGAGCTGAGTTACTTCAGAGAAGTAGGTCGCCATGAAGAAGGGAGTCAACTTTTCAGGAAGTTTTGTGATTATATTTATCCCTATCAAAGTACTTGAAGAAATTATAGCATTTTGTAACACCAATGGTGGAGGATTGTCAGGTGGAGTAGTTACTTTAACGGAGGATGCTTCATTTGAGACTGTTGTTAATCCAAATTCTCCTGTTGCTGCTTCCCAGATTCTAGCGTAAGGATCAACTGGATATCAATGGAGATCAATGAGCTATGTTGTGAGAGATGTTGCTGTGGTTTTTGGCTTGGCGAAGAAGAAGAAGAAGAGCGAAGAAGGTGTCTTTTTTTTTAAAAGTAAAATGGACGCTCGTCCAAACTTAAGGGACGAATGGACGCCCATTCAAACGTAAGGGACGGCCGTCCAAAATTTATGGACGGCCATCCTCAAATTTTTTTTTTTTTTATTTTCATATTTTGGTTAAGGACGAACGTCCTTTATTTGCGGACACTCGTCCAAAATGAAGGGACGACCGTCCATTATGGATGAACGACCGTCCCTAATTTTTATAAAAAAAAATTATTCTATTTTACTTATGAACAGGCGTCCATTAAATAGGGACGCCCGTTCCTGGTATATGGACCCTCGTCCATATAATATGGACGGATGTCCATGTGAATGAACGGTCGTTCAAATTTGATGGACGGTCGTTCACTAGAAAAAAATTGTTAAAAAAATTAGAGGCATGTTACACATAGGTCGGTATAATATTTCGGTTCAAAAATCCCGATGTCTGTAGCATTATTGTTAGTGAGAAGTCCGCTTAAAGCTTGTTTTTATAATTAAATCCTGTTGATTGTTGAAACAGGAAATTTGAGGTTGACTTTATTATTACGCCACGTGAAGTTAAATCCTATTGAAATGAATAAATTGATAGGACTTACCTCAGATATAATATCTTTGACAAGCTTTGCAGTTTCTAAATTTTCTTCATTTCACATCAAAGGAAACACTTTTGAGTGCTGCGATTACGTGAAGGAGAAGAAACAAAGCAAAAGAATGGAAGGAGCTAAGTTTCGAAGTGGAGACGATCAACAACATTCTCTTCCCAAAAGGGTTAAAAGAGTACCATCGCCATGGGGTTGCGATCATCCTATGTCAAGAACCTCACTTGCTTGGAGATCTTTGATGAAACTAGCGACCGAAAGCAGAAGTCGATAGAAGCGAAGGGCTGGGCTGGTTAGAATTAGAACCTAATGTTAAGATGAGAAGATCAACGAACTTTTCAAGAATGTGGGTAGAAGGAAGAAAAAGATTGAGAAAACTGTAGATGTAAAAATCTACCTGTACGGAAGGGGTGTCTGATCCCGTGAGGTTGAGGCCACTAGCAATCCGCTGTACCTGCGCACGTAGAGAAACAAACGCGTGAAGCGAACGGAAAACACCGGGGTGGTGTTTGCCGTAGGCACTCCGACGCTCAAGTTAGCAAGGCTGAAAGAAGCTTAGTATAGTGAGGGCTAGGGAGTAAAGAGGTTACCGGAAGTCTAGTCGGGGACTGTGACTACGACGGTGATGTGAAGCTCTCAAGTAGGAGCTTCGGGTGTGAAGGTGTAATGTAATATGTCCTTTGTGAGAGGGCTGACCTCTGTTTATATAGCGACTATCTGGTCTCCCAATCCTGGTGGGAGTAGGAGTCCTAGTGTGACTCTGATGCAAACCCTAGAAAAGTTAAGGCGGTGGTGA